AGACATGCTGAAAGGGTTAGGTTTTTTGGATCATGAAACCCCTTCTAAAATAAAACTGAACAGCCACATAATTTTTCTTACAGGGCATGATATAATTTAATCTAAATGTTTAAAATTGATAAATATTTTTTCTTTTCCCTTTGGAAAATCTAACTATTTTATGATATAAAGGGAGGCTATTTTTTAATCAAATTGATGAAGAAATGCTAAATATAAGACAAAATCCAAGTAATGCTTTCTAGATATCAAAGGTTAAAAATATGCTGGACATTTTTCTTTAAGATAAGGGTTGCGAGTATCCACTCCCTTACATTCGTCCCGTTACCTATACGCACAGAAGCTGGTGCCAAATCACAGATCCATACCTATTTTGCAAAATTGTGAATGATTATACAGGGAGAAAGAAAAGTCACATATTCCATTAAAATATATATTGTGGACATTAAATTTTTAGTGGGACATAAAATAGGTTCATACTACCTTCTTATAAAACACACAGAATTTGATCACAGTCATAAGGAGATAGCTAGCATTCTTCCAAGCACTGTGCTTAGAATTTAACAAAAAGATACTATTATGTCAGCTTTTCATTTTATATAACTCTTCTTGGAATGTATAGCTCTGAATATTGCACAAGATTCTGATTCCAGCAACACAGCATTTTCATATAGCTCTGCTAATGTTGAAGTTAAGCAAAATGTTTGGAACACGGGAATTAACACCAGTTAGAAGACAGTTATGATCCATCTCCAAATATGTGCCACTTGCAGTCATGTACACTAGCTAGTACATCTACAGACAAGTATGCATTAACTATTAAACAGATAAGAGACCCACAGAGGAAAACAGCAATTTGCAGTCATATATGGTATTATCCTGAAAGAACAGGGCCACTCCAAACCATTTTTCTTCCATCTCTTAACTTTTAGGACAACAGGAAGGAAAACGTCCCTCAGACTAATCCTGATTCATTATCCTTTTAGGTCTTTCAGGTTTTCAGTGGAGAAGCATGAATTCTCTGAATATAGAGCCACGCTTTTCAAAGTTCAATATTAAGAGCCAGATTCAGC